AATACATCGTCTAAAAGTAAGAAAAGAAAGAAAAAGAGTTATTCCACCTTTCTGATTCCTGATCCTCCACGGACGGGTTGGTCGTTGGATCGCCAACTTGAAGAGGGAGGATTTGCCATCGAACTTCTGGCCAGAGAAAAAACATGTTACCAATGAATCCATTACAAGTCTGCTTCTCATAGTGCACTGGTTGTCAATATCATGGATAATAGCGCGTTGTGACAAACACAGATACAGCACTGGGACTTGATCAACAGCCGATACCGCACCGTGACGTCACTAACCAGTAGGTGGCAGTAGTGTTATTTAACAAACATGGATGTCTCCAGTAAAGCACTTTCAAATTAAATTACTCTTAATTAAAAACACTGATCATAATCAATATTTAATGATGTCATACACTTTAGGTACTTTCAGAAGTTTGTATTCTAAATGTGACCGGACCTCTTTAAATTCAAATGAAATGAGTTTTTTTTCTGGAGTTCCTCAGAATCTGCAGTCAGTATTTGCTGGTTCTGAGCCTGGTTCTGTGATTCACCTCACCATCCCTTCTCCATCTGCATCCAGGTGCGCTCCACGGTGAAGAAGCGCTGGATGCGTTGGCACGATCGTCACTCCATCCGCAGCAGGACGGTCCGTGCCACGTCGATCCCTACGTCTCCCAGCAGAGTATCCTTCCACAGCATCAAACAATCCTCCAACCTCTGATCGTCCAATCGCAGCTTTTATTAGGACCACCCCAACCAATCAGAACTCTACACTTGAACTGGATCAGAGCAGCCAATCAGTACAGGACACGTGTTTATTAAGGTGATCAAAGGGTCTGTCAATCAAGAGGCTGTTTGCTGCATCTCCAGTCGGTGGACTCGACGAATCAGCTGCTCTTAATGGCTCCAATGACGCACCAGGCAGCTATGTTCATGCTGTTGATATGGGTCTGTGGATTGGTTATGTCTATGCTTAAACTTCTGATCACCAGCTTTCTTTCCCTGCTTGCCAGCAGGGGGCGCTGCTGAACATTTAAAGTCTGGTTCTTCTCTTTATGTTGCTGTGAATTCTGAAGACTAACCCTGGTTCTGTTTCTGCAGAATCAAAGCACAAACCTCCCTTAAAGGTTCTAGCAGGTTCTAACACAATGTTGAACACATCAAATGGGCTGCAGCTGAGAAGAAGCTCGAGTTTGAGGAACAAACATGTGTCAGAGCCTGATTTACAGAAACATGGAACAGGTCAGAGATTAAATCCTGAGAATTTATTCTGAATAATTAACCTGTAAATAGATAAGGAACATACAGTGGCTGACAGATGCTAGCAATGTTTAAATACGTGTTGCACTGCAAATTCAAAAGGTCCTGTTAACTCGGAAATGAAACCAATAAACACCGAAACGCAGCAAGTAGCAAAAACAACTGCAAGTTAAGAAAAGCTGCAATCACAGAATACAGAGAGCAGCAAAATGTAAAAGTGTTGCAACGCAAAACTGCTGCAAATACATAAATGATACTAACAGGGGCGGATTTAGGACATTTGGGGCCCTAGGCAAAGACAGGCAGGGGGCCCTCTGAACTGAGAATACAACACATAAAACAGACCCAATATGCAGATACAGACATTTTTTTTAGAATAG